GAGCCTGAATGGTGGGTCAAACGCAGTTTCTGTCTCGGTGGCTTTGGATGATTGTCAATAAAGTTAAATTAATCACAGATGGATGTCAACTTTGATCTCATATTGTTCCAGGAGCTGGCGGAAGTCATTTTGAATGCTCTGTAAAGCTGTGGCGCAGGCATCTTTTTCACATGTGGGTTTCGCATTCGCCTGGCCCGAGTTATTGTGATAACCCGCCGAGTGGACTCTTTTGTTTTTACCGTCAGTATTAATCGTCAATCACCTGCTATTCTCTTTCTTTAACCGGCGGATACATATTTATGAAGTCTGGTGCTTTTGCGTGAACATTTGCAACTGATTATGTGCACTCTTCTCACTCCAAACTTGGAGTCCAGATGTTCAGCTATATAAGCAGAAAGTCAGTCATTGCTCAACTCCCAGCATCCTTGTTCCTTGAGGAATAGGGTGTTTGTTTGCATTGAAACGCTAATCAGTTGCAGTAACAGGCTTCATTCTGATCATAAAGAGATTTATCTTTAATGAGTCCATCAATTCATGCCCTATTCATGTCTATTCTCCATCTAGACAGAATGATTCTAACTGCCAAACCCAAAGTCTGCCTTCTTTGACAGTTGGACCAATAAAAGGTTGAATGTTTTGATCAGACAGCCTCAAACAATCCTTTACTTGGAGAAAAAAAAAGTACTTACCATAATGCTATTAATCATGTGAGGGCGTCAGGGTTCAGCTGGTGTCACGGTCAGCTTCAAAAAGCCTTACTTATTAAGTTCTACTCATTCTGTGCGGACTTGTGTGTAAAATCTTTGAAGATTTGATCAGGTACAGGTGCTGGTTCTTGCTGTTCAAAGCGACACCTCAACTCTTTCGCCTGGCCATTAAAGTCGACGTAAAGGTCAACGTGGGCCAACTTTTGCATTTCTATTAGAATTGCAGCCTGCTGAGGAATAAGCTCATTAGGGATAATTACAGATGTTCTGTCCTACAGCCATTTCTCCCGTTCACCTCAGTTTCTGGAAAAGTTTTACTCTGTAAGAAAAAACACGGTTAGCAAGAAGCTCAAAGTTAACGATAAAGGTGTATCAGAAACTAAACACTTGAACTGCTCAGACTCTTGCACTCATGTCATTATCAGTGTGTGAAAGGAATATTTTTGGGAGATCTTTTTCACTTTCTTGCCAAGAGATGGGTGATACCACTCCCAAGTCTTTACAGTAAATACAATATGTATAACTACCGCATGTAGCTGGACAGTTTCTTAGTTTAGCATAAAGATAGGAAGCAGAGAGAAACAGGTAGCCTGGCTCTGTCCAAAGGTAACTAAATCCATCTACCAACACATTTAAAGCTCAATGATAATTATGTTATATCTCAATTGTTAAATCCGTAAACCAAAGTGCAAAGACAATCTGTGGGGATTTATATGCTGGATTATTTCTTGGGCGTGATCAGCTATTTCGTGGAGTCTGTGCTGAATGCCTGCAAAAGCTAAGAAGAAGTCTGGCATATAACGCCCCTGTAAAACAGCTTTACACTTCAGGTTTTTTTAAGATTACATAAACAACATATAGCTTTAGAAGGGAACCTACAAGTCAGTTTGAATGGAGCACAACCATGTTACATGATTCTTTGTGCTAAGCTAAGCTAATGCCAGCTCATGTTACATACAGTACCTTTACATACTATATTTACCGTGCAAATGTGAAAGTGGCATCAGTCATGTCATCTAACTCTCTGCAAGATGTTTTTGGGGAAATATGCTTATTCACTTAAGCATATTTCCCAAAATGTCAAACTACTGCCTAAACTAAATTGTTATTCTGCTCATAAAATGTATTCAAGACAAGCAGCAAAGACTTACGATGCTTGGATTACTTCAGTGTGGGAGTGTTTTTTAGGATGTGTGTGTGTGTACTAGGGAAAGCCACAAACAGAGATGCGTGTTTGTTTAGGCCACCGAAAGGAGGATTAGGCTTGTCGGCAGCATGTGCACCGACTGAGCTGACGCTTGCCTTCCCAGTACACACTCCAGCAATCAGGCGGGCTGCCAAACAAACAGATGAAGTCAACAGAGAGACGTTTCCTTGTGTCTTCTGAGATGTGACTGCAACATATGCAACACTGACACTGACACTTGACACAGTGTGACAACCTACTGTGTCTACACAGCCGGCTCCACTTTGACTTATTTTGAAAGGGGTGGTGGGGGTGGGGGTGTGTGACACTATGCACATGATCACACACAAGATAATGTTTGTCAGCAGCAACAGCGATGTCACGATGTAAGAGAGACAAAGACAGACAACGGGGGTTGATTTCACGGTGCAGTCATGTTGCATGTACAGTCCTCAAAAGATTTCCATATGTCGAGGGGGGGGCTGGGGGAGCGCAGTCAGTTTTTCGAGGTGCAGGCTTTGATTTGCTCTGTGCATGATTCAATCTCCGAGATGAACTATGGCCATTACACACTGCAAGGTCAAAATCCCATTACTTAAATGCAATTTTATCCATGATTTTTTTCTTACAGGCCCCATCTCTCAAATATATCTACACATTGCCACCCAGATAGGCAGGCTGAAAGCACTGCATGCTGGTTAACAGAGTTCTTGGCTTTGAGCAGCTCTAGGGGATGGAGTGAGGGAGTATCTGTATCCAGGTAATTACAGTCTGAGGGGGCACAGAGGTCCTCTGTGATTACACATCAGCCCTGTAATGGATTCAACACTTATAGACGGAGAGAGAGAGAGCCGCATTCCTTACCTTCCCATCGCGAACGCAGGGGGACGGGCGGGTGAGAGCAGACAAGGTGGGGCGGGGTAGGTAGGTATATCTGCAAGATGGATTACGTGGGGTTTGCCGAGTTCAACATTGACACAGATTCATCGTAAATCATTATGCTGGGGACCCGGAGTGATTTCTGCATTAGGAGCAGAAAATGGAGTTCAGCCAGTCAATGAGGGAGGGCATATTTCACATCAATCACCTCCACACTCTCATGTTACCAAGGCTTAAATCTCACTTATACTGTTACCAATAGGGTTCAATGGCTATGATGGCAATCAGCAAGACACTGCACTAAACAATACCCTACTGACTACACAGAGGACATAGCATGGGGCTGCTTTGCCATTTATTTAAAGTGAATTATATATGAATTGAAAAGGAGAAAAGTAAAAGATGATGTTGGTGCTAAAGAGGTTGTTTAGATTATAATTCTGGCATATGTCTATGGCTGTTCAAACTTTTAACTCATGTTGGCTAACTTTCCAGCAGTTTTGTTCATTCATTGAAATGAACAGGGTTGACGAGGTTCCAACCAACAACGCTTCAGATACTGGAGGTTTCAACGAAGCACAGTTCTATAGTGAGTAAAATTAGAGTTCTTACCTCTTTATTGTTTGGGATCCCACCCACCAACCTCACAGTGTGTAGAAAAGGACTGAAGTTGTAACCTTTTCTATTGCCAGAAACTGGTCTTGCCATTTGATGAAGGTGACAAAATATGGCACTGATCATAAAGCATTGTTATTGCACCAAACAACATACATGTTACAAATACATGTTTTATGTTTTAAATGGGCTATATTAAACAAATATGGGTTCCTATGTTTGCCAAAAAGACATTCTTAGACAAAGAAAAGAACAGTAGCCATACTTATGTTTGGGGTCAATTAGACCCCAGAGAGGTTTAACACCCGTACCTCATACCTACCTTAAACTTCTGTTCTGTCTTAAAAACTGTTAATAAACTAACCTCTAACAGAAATTCTAATAAAGACTTACTGTATTTGGGTAAGTGCTGCTTAAAAAGTAATATCAACACAATCACAGCTATAGAGCATATGAAAATCTGTTGGCAGAAATAGAATATAATATTCATAGGTATGTTTTCATGAGTGTATAATAAAATGTTACCGTTAACTAAGATCTTTTTATGAACTCCAACACTTCTACCGTACCCAGAATGGGTAAGCACACGCTGGATCTAGATAGGGCCTGTCATGTTTTTTGCAGATATGGCACACATTTGGAAGGCTGAGCTGTATTCAAATGTTTGAAATATGCAACTTCACCACTAGATGCCACTAAATCCTACACACTGGTCCTTTAACAATGTTTTAAAGCTGGGGTATCTGAGAAACAGAAGTCTTGTGATATTCTTTGTAGCGAGCTTGTGAAACTAACATGTCATCAGTTCAGTTCATGATGTTTATAAGCCATTTTTAATAAAATTAGGAAAAGTAATAAAATATCAAGCTGATAAAACAATGTTACGTATGTTTTTTAACTGTTAAAGAGGACCTAGGGTCACCAGGACCCTAACATTAGGGTTATTAAATCATATTGCAAACTTTTGAATCACGGGTAATTATTTTAGGCAATAAAAGCCTAAATAAATAGTTTTTACTGAATGAGATTTTCAATGGTCACCAGTGAACACTATTTGATGTTACTGACTCGTTTTATGAATCAGAAGTGCTCAAAAGCCTTTTATGCTACTGAATAAAAACAAATCTTCAAAAAAAATCATGAAAAATCATTTTTTCTCAAACACAGAAAGATGTATTCTTTGACTTTCACAATTAAGAAAATAAATAAATAATAGTTCTCAACACAAGAACCACCTTAGTTTAACATCACTTCACATCTCCTCAGTGAATAAAGTTACACGTGACCGAAATGTAATACTTATGTCACGTGATAACAATTAAACCATCTCCATGACAACTGAGCAACTAAGTTAATTAATCTGAGGAAAGAAAGATGGAAAGATGTTGAAAACTTTTTTTTTTTCACGTTTTAGTCCCAAAGTAGGCTCCACTGAATATAATATTTTGACAGACATATCAGTATACTTTTTCTTTCGTACTTAATTTAATGTAGAACACAAGTTAAAAAAAGAAGCTCCGACACATTTTGTTTAGTTTTTCAGTTTTTCCTAACTTTATTTGTGGCACACATGTTCAGGGAGGGCTTTGTTCACTTCTCTGCCGCCAAGGGAAGCAAAGGGAGAGAAGAGCGGCTTCACTGGCTGTACTACAGGAATCCGGATATGATGAAAATGTTTTAGACGCAACTATCCGCAGCAAACTACCGCCACTGAACGGCGAAGGCGTCGAGGACTATTATTGATAGTGTTTTTTTTAAATACAGTCAACCACATCTGGACAAAGTGAGACTGGGACACACTGGCAACTTAAAAGTTACCGAAAAAAAGTTTTGTTGGACGCTAAGTTCACTCTTTCACCCGGTGACTTGTTCCTCCCCAACGTCTCGGGGAGGAGAGTTGCAGGAAGGAAGGATGGGAATAAGTCAGATTTGAAGCGAGGGAGTTGTCATGTTTGAAAGGTAAGTTATGCTTTACAAACAATATGTCCGCTTTAGCTAGAAACACCACTTCTTAGTCCGTCGCTTTTTTTTTTTTGGATATAGAAAAGGGAGTGTGTAAACAAAGGGGCTACATATGGAGTCTTTCAGCAGGTTTATGTAAAAAAAAAAAAAAAACCGAAGAGAAGGGGGGAAATTTCCACTAAGTTTTTACTGCAGCTCGACGTCACTTTCTCGGCGTGTGAATAAGCAGACGACTCTCTGAAGTTGTTGAGTAATGACCTACACGGTTGTGTCTTCAAGCCTGTGCTGATGGTGAGACATTGGTTTTCACAGCGCTGAGGGCTGAGGAAAGGGAGGAACTTCTTCTGCTCTGTGTGGGCTCCACAAAGACAACTGTCTCATGTCCAAGGAGACCGTCTTTCCTCCTCCGGATGGGCCGGCAGGGCCAGGGAAGGGCCCTCAGCGAGAGACACTTCCCCTGCTGCCAACCTCGCAAGGTAAGTGGGTGCACAGGAAATCAATAGCGTGGGAGAGTTGTAATTAGGGTGAGCTAGGTGGGCTCTGGGTGCTCACTAGGGGGGCAGGAGTGATACAGTATGACACACATACCTCCCAAAGTGTAACATTTTACAGTCCCCGTGCTAGTTCACATCTAACAACATCATTTTACAAATGCTGTGCCTGTTTAAGCGCTCTTTGACCTTTTAAACATTTAGGAATCCCTGAGAATACATGGCTCTTGTATACATAAAGTTCTCACTTGTGAATGTCTATGGATGTGTTTTTTTTCTTTCTCTCCATGCTCCCAGTGCACTAGCAATGAAACTGAGCTATAAATATCAGTGACATATTGTGTGGAGAATCATGTTGCTTGTACAGTCACACATGGGAGAAAACAAGGGAAAAAAACACATAAAGAAAATGAGTCAGTGATTGCATATCGGCGTTTATCGGCTTGCTCGGGACAAAGTCAGCCTTGTCTTTTTAAATTATATTCATGTGACTTTTAGTATACATCAGTATCTGTGCTCCAGTGTTAAGCCTTGATAATGTTTTTGCTTTTTTTTCCCTCAATAAAGTCTGAAGAAACGCCCTGGTGACTATTAACAGCAACCACAGCCAATTATAGTTTTTAATTAACTTTCTAGTTGCCCCTAAGATTATCACATGTAAAATAAGCTTACCCCCACACCCCCTTTTCATTTTTCTTCAAACAAGCAATGAACCGTTAACCATCCTATTTATACCAAGCATCATTATGGCACTGTCAAAAAATAGCAAAGTAGGACAAAGTAAGCAATCACTGGAGCTGCTGGATTGCGAATGGATTTTCGCTGGACCTTCAAAGGCGTTTGCAGTTAAGACTGGATTTCCCCTCTCAGGGGACTGTGGATGTACTGAGAATAGACCAATTTATTTCTAACTGTGATCACTAAATACTGCGATGCATCACACAGTACTGCTGCTAACGCAACTGCCTCTACCATGCATCAGCTAGAAGCTGAGATATGTGCCACATCTATCTAGGGCTGCTGGCCTGCGCCCATCCGTCCCACTCCCCTCATCCATCACTGCTTACAAACAGAGTGTTGTAGCATTGGAACAAACGCATCAAGCTTTGGTGAATGTGACTGCGAGGTTTTGCTGAATCATTCCTCGTCATTTTTCTTTAGAATCCCAACAGTGGCTCAGGATGCAGTGTGTTGCTGTGAAACGTGCAGGCTGCGAGTAGAAAACTGCTGTGAGCAGGCATCTGGCACCAAACCAGTGAATAAAGTCATTGTGGAAGGTTTATTTACTGAACAAAGCAGCAGTGTGCAATGAGCAAAGCGTCAGCAAGTCTTGAAGTCAAGAAGCCAGAAGACACAGCTCAGAGAGAGATGAGTGGGACTGTGTCTCGTGTTTTTGCGCAGCTATCAGGCCTAGAGGTTTTGCCCACATACTTTTTCCAATTTAGATGAATGCAGCCTTTATGGCAGTAAAAAGAAGCTTGGCAGGTAGAGCACACCCGGGAACAGAAGAAGAGAAAATGAGATCCAGAGCTCTGGCAAGGCCTTCACCTGAACCGCCTCACCATGTTGTGCAACCATTTGCCAGCGGCCTGTGCTTTTTCTGGCAAAAATAGGCTGAATGGCCTCTGCACCTCTGGCTCGTCCAGCTGTCCCTGATATTTTGTCCACTGTGGCTGACCCTGCAGTAAAAGTTTACATCTGTTTTCGGAGGAATGGCCGTAATGCACGTTAATTTAGAACAGTTGCGCTCGTAATAGGATAACATTAAAGTAAACAGCCGAAGCCCTCTCTGTTCGTCACTACGGAGCATAATATTTTGCTGCTTATCTTTGTGCGCAACAGGTTTTCCTTCTCCAGCCGTGTTTAACTCTAAATGTTTGTGACCCTAGATGCTTGTGACAGTGAATCATCAGGAAGAACACCATCTCCCAGGAGACCAGCCACTGACGGACAAAGTCACGTGACCGAGGAGAAGCCTAATTATTGCGAGCCTGTACGAAGTAAGTTTTAACGACCTGGGAATGCTGTGGGCGGACAGCGGGATATCTTGGTGTTATTTTTAATGATAAACAACAATGAGCCGTTTAATTGGAGAGAGTGAAAACGATTAACATATTTTGCCTGCTCAGTCAGATGGTTGAGATTAACTGCTGTTTAGGAATGTTTTATTTAACATTTAAATTGTTATAATTTCATCCTTTTTTTTATGAACACGCTCCAGCTGTCAAAAATAGTTGTTGTTATGACAGTCGCACAGTGTACATGCATGAGGCAGGGTCAGTTGGCCAACTAAAATATTAGCTTCAGTGTTTCCAATTAAAATAATATCAAGATAGCACTGAGGTCTCTTGGCGAGTGAGTGGTAACATGCGCGCTCTCTCATTCTGCCGTAATGACCGAGACTTGGCTCGTTTCTCCATTTTTGCTTCTCCTTCCAACCCTCAGCCCTCTGTTTTGGAAGTGGGGAAATCCTGTTTGTGGTTCTGGCATCGACTGTTTTAACGCACTGATTGCAATTTAGCCACAATGTTTTTACCCCGTACCAAACATTTACCTATTGGAGAAGACTTGTGCCAACTAGCTCGAGGCAATTTCTGCTGAATAGTGTCTCAGTGTCATTCAGTGTTAAGACAACACTGCAGTGGTATATTGTTCCTACCAATAATCTACCGTATCAATAACATACATTTTAGTTTTTAAAACATTATTTGGCTTTTTTGTACATTTTATAATCTGATTTTATAGTTTGGGAAGCTTATGAAACCTGTGTCTCAACTCAGAAATAATCACATTGTTTTATGCAAATGTCCTGACTCAGGGAGATTTTACAAAACAATTATTTGGCATTGGACTGCTTGAGTTATTAGCAGGTCTAATTGAGTCTAGATGCACTCTTGCTCAATAAAATGACTTGATACTGAGCTATGGATTGCAGGTCGCGAAAGGAAACCGGCTAAAAGCTTTGTGTGCGTGTCTTTTATTGTTCTTAAGAAGAGTGAGATGTGTCAGCAAAGGCTAATAGCAGCTGATTGCTTCCATCCATGTAAGTGCGTAGCTATAATAAGAATTGTGTTTGCATTTGACACAACAGTTCTTTTGTTTCTAGGTTGTTAACTTTTCCAGGGCGCCTTTTCCTGCCTTTTTTTGGCATTAAGCTTAATGACTTGCCAGTGGCTTGTTTACTGAATCAGCGAGGAAAAGAGATTCAGTTGCAAAAAAAAAAAAAAAAGATTTTCTGTCAAGAGGTCTTTCGAGCTTGGCAGGTGTGTGGAGTATTGCACTTCTGGAGGGAGGCATGCTTTTCTTTCATCTCAGCAGATAAGCCTCTGTGACAACAGTTTTGCGTTGTAATTGATGTCACCCCCCCCCCGTCCCCAAACATCCACACGTTCTCTCTCTCTCACACTCACACACACACTGTCTGCTAAGGGAATTTTAGAGGGAAGAAGATGTGCTGTTTCTTTTTAGAGTTAGAACATAAAATAGTCATGTGAAATAAAGGCAAAACCTTACATGTGGTTAAATCAAAGTTAGAAATTCTTACATTCAGGGGGAGCTCAAGTTAACCTATTTGTGTCATAGTCTCACCGCGGTTTTGTTTGTTGAGGTGACCAATCAGATTGCTCGCAGACACGGGTAATTGAGAGCCCCCTTCACTGCAGAAACAGGAAATCAATAAGAAATCATCTGCCTGCCTACATCCTGGCCCTTGCTGTCCCCCCCCTCCCTATCTCCCCTCCTGATGTCTGATTTAAAGCTTGTGTACAGTGTGTGGATGGTGACTTTTCACAACAAGAGGAAGCCCATTGTATTGTTGTAATAACAGCTCAGATCCTATTTCAGTTATGATAACATTGTTTTGACAAGTTGTCTTTTTAACCAGTGGGTCCCCCCTAAAACAGGAAAGTAAACATGGCAGCGGTTCCATATTGATTTAAACTGTTCTTCATGGGGCTCAGTATGTGCTTTCAGGAGAACACTGAGTAACTGAACCTCGCCACACATTTAATCATCAAGTGTGACCTAAAAAGCTGAAATTATGAACTGAAGTTTCATAAATTCACATTGTGTGGAAAAAAAGTTTAATTGCGGTGGTTCCTGGGATTGCCAACCATTGCGGCTTGTTAGACAAAAAAAAGTACAATTCTGCCCTTCGTGTAAGGCCGTTGTCAGCGAACGGTTCCTCTGTGGCTCCGCCATCCTGGGGGAGGAGGGAGAATCTTGGGGCGAGACAGACATTCCTCAAGAGACCGTTCTGGGTTTTCAAGCAGTTGATATCTCCTGCAAACAGGGCCTCGGCTCTCCAGCCCTTGCCTCAGAATAAATTGCAACCACCCAGCACCAGTTTTAGGAGTTTAATCGTCACATTATTCACCAGATTGTCAAATTTTTTTTTAATGCTTCTGTAGTGGGTAAAGATGACCTTACTAGCTTCCGAAGATCAGGTCTGTTTTTTATCTCAGTGAAATTCTGTAGTGAGAAAGGAAGGTCAAATAATGTGACTCTTTTTTTTTAAAGGAAGACATTAGTCTGGCCTTTGTGTGAATCCCTGATTGGGCTTTTTAGTGGCACACCTTCAAGGTTATTACCTGTGCGCAGAATTGACCTTTTGAAAGTGAATTTGTGACCCCTAATAAATGCAGTAAAAGGGATTGTGTAAATGGAGAGTATCTCATACTTGTACCTCTCTTGCAAGAAAAGAAGTCTTGACAGTGCAACAATTAAGATTTATATACAAACCTATAAAGCGTTATGATACTAGACAGTCGGCGGAGTTACACTAAGATGAAACAAAGGGCAAGTGGCTCCTCATCATCATTTTCATCATCTGTGCTGAATTTTTTTTGCTGCCCAAGTGTGGAATCAACATTCTCAGACTGTCACACTTTGCCTCATGTATATTCCAAAGTTGCTTAAGTACTTAGAGACTTTTTAACCTCGTGCCAGTTTCTCTTCCCAGAATGTTTTTTTTTTTCAGCTATAGGAAGTGCATGGTGATTGTTGTTATGCAAGATTCATATCTTTATTTTAATCCTCAGAGCCCTGTCTCTGCAGAAATAATGTGTCTAAAGCATAGACCTATTATAAACTGAACCGTAATTTTCAAGTGATTACTTACCAGTGGGTCATAGAATCAAAAACTGTATAAATAGGGTGAAATGCTAGTGTAGGGGTTGATTAAAATGGCCATTGTAATTCTACCTCTGTTGTAATTATTTTCTCATTGTCTTGGTGCAGATAGATTTCATATGGGAAATTTCAAGTGTGTTAATTAGCATATTTTACCCAAAGTGCCCGAGCCTATTCACTGTTAATTTTTTTTAAGATATTCAAAATACTTGAGCCAAATGATTAGATATGCATACCTCAATTCATGGACTGCAGTCTTTTAAGTGGTTATGTTAGATACAAGGCAACATATATGGAGTTTGATTGTGGAGGAAGGGTGCATTTTCTTTTCTTTATCGCAGAGGATTTGGATATTAAGAGTAATCTTTCCAAGTCGTTTTAACACCAATTGACCTTCGCGTGTAAATGGTTCTTGTGCAGCACATATCTGCAATCAAAGTACCAATTCCACAGTATAAAACTACTCAAGAAAAGTCCGTAAAAGAACGTTCTGCATCCACAATTTTAGCGATATAGAAGTACACAAGTGTTTATTTACATGGATGCAGTCATTTAGACTTTAACTACATTGTTGGTTAGTTAAATCTATAACAGTCCATCAAGTTGTATATGTTTTTAATGCAGAGTAAGTAGTAACGAAGCTCTCAAATAAACGTAGTGAAATGGAAGTTTTAAATTCAGTGGGGCAGATGTATAAATTGGCATAAAATGGGAATACCCAAGTTAAGTAGAAGTACCTCAAAGTGTAAAATGGTGGTTATCTTCGTTATTGTATAATGCATTTTATATAATATACACAATGCATAGACAGATGAACTAAACCTAGCCTCCTTTATTTTTTCTACCTTATTTTGCCTGTCTGCTTAGCACGGGGAAGGTAGGTGGACTGCTCGGCTCATGTTTACCGCCTGCCTAACCGGTGCCTTTCACAAGCCACTCGCAGAGAGGGAGAGAGAGAGAAAAATCAGCCAGTTCAAATGAGAGCAGCGCAGGGGGGATTACTTGGCCTCTAACAGGGTTTTGGCTCCAACATTAAGGTTAAAACCCTTTTCTATTACTGAGATCTCTGCTGATGTTGCCCCCGCCAGCCCCGACCCCCTCGAGCTTCCAGCTTCTTGCCCCCTTCGTGTTTGCAGGTTCAGTGCCTCTCTGCTAGGTCATTCTGTCAGGCCCCCTGATCAGTGGAGGGTGACCAGGGACCAGGGGATGGCTCCCGTCCAGACTCGCAGACAGCCACAGCCGACACAGGCCCCGGCTAGTGCCATACACCCCCCTCACCCCCCTCTCTCTTTCAGGCTAGAGCTAAAATCGATACGGGCGTCTCCGTGTTTAAAAAGCCACTCAGAGGCAGACGAGCACCTCTGTCCCAAAGGCTGATCTCTCAGCTTAAGGCCTTGATTGGCATCCCGAAGATGCGAGGCGCTGACCCACAGCTGTCCCATTAGCGGAGGGTTAATGCTGAGATTGATACTGAGCAAATAAAGGAACTCGGTGTGGGGGTATTTTGATAGACTGCCTATCCCATCTCTGACCCGGAGACTGACCTCAGCTGTATTTTGGCTTTTAGGGAGTGGTAGCGCTGCTGCCAGATCCTCATCTCTGGCTGCGTTAGTGGATCTGCCACTGTATTTATTTGGTGTGTGTGGTTGACTCAGTGTGTGCCGTTTTGCATGCGTGTGTGCCTGTTGTGTATATGTGCACAAGTACGAATGTACGAATGTGCGCATGTGCATATCTGCCCGCCTGCAGTTGAATATTCAAACAAGTGAGTTTCCTGTGGAACTTCTACTTCAGCGGGGAGATTTTGAAGCTGTTGGAATATTTGAGTCATCGATGTAACTGAAACTGAAAATACCCCCGTTCCCCTCCT